CCAATTCGAGAATTCCGTCATCAGCACCACCAGATGGCACGTTTTCATTCCCAGCATCGGTTTCACTCTTCGACGGCAACAATCCCAACATCTGGAGCGACGGACCTTCGAACGCATAACACCAACGTAAAACATAAAATATGTGTACAGTATTCCTTTTCTCACGAGGATAAAAAAAATGAGTATAAATAATCACATAAGCCACATAATGATACATTATTACAGAATATAAATTCTTTGTAAATTCAAAGAAAAAAAATACTTCGTACGCAGCCCTGATCAAATAAGAGGCTCGCAGATCATGAAGTTAATTCAGATGACTGATCGAGGTTCTTTGACATAGCAAGTTTCAAAATTCATAGACTTAGTTAGATTAATGGCGACTGAAGTTTTTTTTTAATTGTGCGATAGCCAATAATGACAGGAGTTGATCACTACGTCAAAATGGTAGTTCACTATGCGAATAATTTGCAAATCATAACAACCTAATCCACCAGCACTGGTTAGCCGCTTGCAGTCGTCCTCGTCAGCAGGTATTGCTGGTTGTATCAACTTCTTATCGACACCGCCAATTTCCTCGCCAATTATATTCGAAATGCTTTCCCGCGTTTCCCCGGTGATGAACTCCATGATGTCTCGGTTTTCCTGCTCTGCACTTCGCTCCAAGTCCGACATGTACGATTCCCAGGTGGATGAACGACGTTTCCCGTCAGCCAAAAGCTTTTCAATTTGCCCTTGCAGCTCCAGGAATTCTTTGCTACTAACGTCCGGGGGCTGCGGGAAGAAATGAATCATAAAGTTCATCATAATGTTTTGTATCGGTATAAGAACATACTAACGTAGTTGAGCAAATATTGACATTTTAAGACCCTTTTTCCAACTTTGACTCAGAAAAAAATTCAAACGTATCAGAATCAGTGAAGATTATGATTCGCATGCCGAATGCCAGTTTACAGGGTGGTTCAAGAAAAATCATAGCTCATCGTCCTAATGAACATCTTGCTAACAAGGCGGTTAATTTTCACGCTTGATCTAAATTGACTAATTCAGAGGTAAAAATTAGATAAATCATCTACCTGTCTCCTCTAGAGTAGTTATTCATATTTTTCAAAAGGAACATGTTCATCATCATGTTCCACGCAAGATTCATTCAAATTTCTCAGGAAAAGTTGAATGACCTTTAATTTTCACCTATTCATTCTAACACTGTGCTTGGTCGAACTTTCCAGTCAGAAATTGGAGCATATTTCTATCACGTATAAGAAGATTTCTGGCACATCAAGATGCCAGAAGAAAAGCGTCTTCGATTCGCCACTAGATTTTTTAGTCTTAGAAAATTCAGATGCGTCTTACAATCAGTTTTTAAAAAAATTGTATTTTTTTATTCAGAAAACCTACATTGACTTCCTTGTCCTTCCGTCTTGCGGCTTTGAAAGCCGGTGGATCCTGTTCTTCTTCCAAGTCGACAGTCATGAATTCGTTTAGTGTCAATGAGCTAGTTGGTGTCTCACCAAACTCAAGCAACCGTTTCCTAACAGTACTCTGATGCACTTTCACGATCTTCACAATATCGACGATAGTGCGATTGAACTGGTGTAATCGTGCAGCCAAAAGTAACGCTGAGAACAGACGATTCATCAGTTTCGCATTTTCAGCACGCAAATTCGAAAAAAAATGGTTTTAATCTCACCAGCTCCACAGACCCCCGATGGCCGTCTTCCTGTGTGCAACCAGTCCCGTTTCATTCGTTGCACTAACCGCAACGCAGTCATGGAAACTTTGTGGGTTTTCGAACCGAATTCCAGTTTATGAGCAAATCTCAGGATGTACAAGCAGGGATCTTTTGCGGAAATTAGAAAATTTTTGACCCATCAACAACAGACAAAATTATTCGAATTATTCCTCAAATTCCTGCGGGTCACATAATTGTAATCTTCGACAGATGAAAATTAGTCATCCACTCCCAGCCAACTAATATAAAAAAACTAAAGTAATAAAATTAAATTTGTCGTGTGGATCTTTTTTCCGAACAGTTTAAGATGAGATTTAACTGATCTAACGATTCATGGATTTTTCAAGTAGATCAATTTACAAGAGGAAGAACTTAGAAGAACATCATGCTTAATTTCCTTGGTGAGGATAATTCGAATCGGCTTTGCATTTGTTCCAAGATAACTGCTCAACGGGCTCTAAATTCATATGCAAACATATTTTCATCGCTGCGGTGAATTTCACTTGCAAAAATCGCAAAAATTAAAATTGTCTACGTAACCTGAATGCATCCAAAATAAGCCGAGACTTGTTCAATAAATGGACGAACCCGTGAAAGAAAACCTGTTTTCACAAATTACTGGTACAAAAAGGGATGACATTTTCTTGAAACACAGTATGAATGAACACGAATTTTTTCATTTTTCTCATCTGACAACACAGTCTTTTTTTCTGTGTGATTCGCAAGACTTCCGAAAAAAAAAACTTTTGCATTCCAAAACATCACTCACCAATGGCCGGTATGTTGATGTGGAGCTCCGAGGAAAGCTTCAAAAACGTTCGTCCCAACTCATAAACGCCAACTTTCAGAGTATCACAGAAATCGATCAGCAAATCTGAGCCACAGAAACAACACGCGTGAGACATAAAAAAAAAAAAAGACAAAAATTGAGACTCACGCGAAGTTCCTTCGGTCCTGCATGTGATGTAGATGCAGGCAGCAACCACGAGATCGTTCTTCCTTCCGGCAGTCAGTCTTCTGTGCAACGCCATCTTGAAAAAGTTGAACGCCGTGTCTTGGCAATGCTGGTTTAGTTGCAGTTTGGCACTACACAACTGGCTAATTTTTCTCTTCGCGTTTCTGAACGTCAGCTCCCTTGAAACTTTGCTCATGCCAGTGTATAAGCCTTGCGAAAGAAAAAATGAAGCATAAAATTATCCACAAGAAATCCTCCTTTGGATTTGATCATGAGATAATTCTCGAAACAAAAAACTTTAATACAAAGACAACAGTACAGTACAATTAAAGTCCAATTATCTCGTCTTCAATTCAACACGTATCATTCGCCTCACCAAAATGTTGACAGATTAAATTCGTCAAAAGGAAACGAAATGACGTGCATACCTGATAATTACCGTATTTACCTGAGTAACACGCGAACCTTGTTTTTCTCAAAATTTAAATTCTTCTACGTTAAGGAACCCGGTCATTAAACAAAATACATGTGATGAATCTTGCACAGGTGGACTCTCTAAAAAATTCAAGGGACCAGATAAAATTCATTGTAGAGAGAATTTCGAAGTAGAAAATCCATATAACATGGTAAGAGAACCCTATGAAATAAAAGATATATAAATAAATTCGGTATACGGATAAAATTGTTGGACAACCACTTCGTGGAGAGTTATCCGTACTTATAAATTCAACTGCGGCGAAATCACAGAGATAAAAGATGATTGTAATACCGGGCAAGGATTTGCCAACACGTCCATCGCCGGACACGAACTGGCCCACAGCAGAGGCGACACCACTCGCAGATTCTTCAAACTGCACTTCGGACACGATCAACGAAGTTTCCAACACAGTGCCACACTTGGTACACACCACATCCCCGCGGGCGGGATCGGTGTCCAGTTCGGAACACCCGCACTGGCATACTGTCACCCCAATCGAGGCCATCGGGGAACACTTCGTGAATCAATATATTCTGGAGGGTTCATCAAATAAAAAAATGTCATTAATACTAATCAAATGAAAATAGGAACTACGGGTCTATCTGAATAGAAGAAGGGGAGAACCATCGAGGCAAACATCTTCAAATTCAAAATTTCAAGGGTTAAAAAGGTCGGCTCATAAGATTTACCTCTCCTGAACTTTCTGTCTCAACATCACATCAATTCCGAAGCCTTAGTGCCATCTCCTTCAATTTCTTCTTAATTTTTGGATTCTCAATTTTTCGCATTTAATTCTTAATTGAATAAGTGTTCGAATTTAGCGATTTCTGAGTCGGTTGTATTGAATCTACTGCGTCAAATGTTGAGAAAAGCTTGAAGAAATCAGAGGTGTAATTCAAGAAAAGCAGGAAATAAAGCAAATGCCATGCTTGGTACCTACAGTGGTTTAGGCTCTTTAAAATTTATAAAATATGAATTCAAAAGCTAGGATACCGGAAGAATTTCCCGTTGAAGCCAAGTTCACGAAATTTTTCAACGATTTACAAAACTAAGAAATTTATGAACTTGAAAGACGGGACATAAAACCACTCGAAGAAAATTAACAAAGAAAACAACTGTACCTCTCTATTCAACAAATTTCAAGAGTTGGCAAAGCTTTTGAACCTATCCTCGTAATTATTCAGATTTCAACTCCCCAATTATCATATTTTCAAGATGGGAATAATTCCTCTTCAAAATTGTATGATGGAGCAACGATGGTTTCTGCCCAGTGAACTTCATTGAAAGGAAATGCATTGTATATAGCTCTTGTTTTTCCCAAAGCTGAAAATATAATAAGAATATTGCCCGACAACGAAAACAATTCTGAAAAGCTGGCGGAATTCTATTCCATTTCCGAAATGCCCACGACCACACAAGAGTGAAAAATGACGAATCGTAAAATACGATACCATGCTTCTCAACACAGGTGTACCTCTCAAAGGAATGAAAAATTCGAACTGGAATTATAAATTCACATTTAAAAAAAGGGGAAAAACACAGCGGCTCCAAGATTCCCGACGAACCGCATTTCCTTCAAATTAAAAATCACTTCGTTGTGTAAAATGACGGAAATCGGCAGACATATTTCTTTTCGAAGTGTTAGCAGGACGGTATGTTTCCCAGAAACGCTTGATCCCGCAACAAAAAACAGCTTGAAATGCTGTTCTCACAAAAACTGATAAAAACAACTTACCAGATCAAAGCGTGAACGATGGAAGTACAGTACAGTACTAATAACTAGATCTGCAGGTAACGTGAAGTAAAAAAACATCAGGACATGTGAAGTTTCTGAAGCCACCGGAAAGCTCTTTGCGAAATATTCAACGCTGGATTCAACAAACTCAAATCCGGGTAGCCTAAAAGTGACAAACCGGCCAAACCTGAAATGAATCAATTGTCTGATAAGACCAAAAGCATACAAAAATTTTAAATGAAAAACTTACTCATATAAGTGTGCAAGGGATCTGGATCTCCTCCAGAAAGCTTGAAAAATCCACCCACAAATTGATCTTGATTACTCAACACGAAATCGAAGCAATCTTTTCGCCGTACGAAATCCAAGCTCCCCAACAACTGAATGAAATCATACATTTGCAAACACACACGCACTTCACGGCATCAACATTAAATCATTCAAACCTGTAGAGAAGCACTGATCCAGAAGGTGTAACACGTATCAGAATCTTTTTCCGGTCGACCACAAAAGCCCCCTCGATTCTCTTGTGATCCATTTTGAACATGTCTTTGGAGCAACCACAACACCATGCGATTTTTCTAAAACGAAAATATGAATGCATTGACTACACATACAATATACAGAAAAACGAATCATACCTGTTGCTCCGTGAGAACATGTAAAGTGTCGGGGTTTCTCACTTCATCCGCACACTGAGACGTAAATTCAAATTCTCATAAATTTATTTTTCGATTAGCCGAAGTAGAACTTACGTCCAATCCACCGAACTCTTGCATTAGAAAAAGAGATGCCACGCCACAAAACGTGGATCCTCCTTGCGATTCATTCCCCGGACTTTGAGCAATACCACCATCAAATCTCTAAAAAAAATTCGGACAATATCTTGCCTTCGTTCGTCAAAAACCCGAGTTAAGACTCACCAGGGAGTTCAATATGAACTCCTTCGTTTTTTCTGGTTCCATCGCAGACCAGTCATTGATCAACACACAAACACAACAAGCACAGTAAACAAAACGCATATCGTTGTCTCCGCCGTTTGGTCCACCAAAAAAGCTACGGACGGAAAATAAACGAAAAATCATCGATCATTGAAATTTGAATTCACAAAATATATCACCTCCCATCGGGCAGACGGTAACGCTTGATACAATTGATGATCGCAGGACGGTTTACACGCTTCAGGTCGTCGCCCAGAATTACAAGTGTGGTAAGTGCTACATAGACCATAGCTAAATTATCCTCGTCCAAGTTGTGAGCAGGAAACCTTCCCAGTGGATGATCCTCCGCATCTCGAACAATAGCTGACGTTCCATACGTTGATGAACCCCGAAATCCTCCGGCATCAACATCTGAAAGAATCAATTTTTTCAAAAAAGGGACAAACACTTGGAAGGCCTTTGAAAATCGACATGTATTTTCATCGCTAACATTTAAGCGACTGCATTCGTTCCTGAAAATTAATCATGGCGCAAAACCAACAGCATTACTGTTATTTTCATCCGTCAAGGTAGCACACGTAAAATATTGAATATTCACAACATATTTAAATAATTTGTTTTCTTGAAATATCAAGACAAGTGCGTCATGCCTCTCAAATCTGACCAACAAACAGTGAAATTCAACGTAAGCCTACTTGATATAACTTCACCTACATATCTCTATCCAACACGACCACGACTTGAAAATCCTTATTTTGTTCAAACGACATCTATAGGTTGAAGCGAGAATCGTCTGAGATCGCGCGAACTGCAGACTTTCCAAAAAGTTGAATAAAAATCAATTACAGTTTCTCGTATCATTTCTTGATTCATGAGACTCAAGACAAAAGGGACGTCAAGAGAGCAGCCGAAAATCCTGAGTCTCACTTCGAAGAAAATCATAACACGAAGAATAACTCACAATCATCATTCGGAAGAATTTGGAGTGAGTAAATCCAGCTTATCAGCTCCTGTTTTCTATCAGGATCTAGAGCGGAATCCAATGCGCCCAGAAGGTCCAATCCCGAAACAGAAAAAAATAAAACTAACGCCCTGAGAAAGAATGATGGAATCAATTAAACCCTCGATTCTTGGACTTACGTTGGTTTCGAGAAGAAAAAATTACCATAGAGCAATTTAAAAATTATATCAACTCACCTTTGGACATCCATGAAACATACACTGCTCGGATTCACTCCCAATATCCTTTGGAAGAATTTGATATGCTGACTTCGCAGCAATCTTTGCGTATCACAATCATTGAGCGAATGATTCATAGAAAACGCACCGCGAGAACAATCACCGCCCTCCATATCACAAACCTTGAGAAAAAATGTACGTCTCTCATAACAAAAAACGGTCACTTCCTGACCTTAACGTATTGAAAAACGACCAGAAATTCAACGGGCGTAATTTTTACTATTCCACAGGCAAAAACATGGCTGAAATGACATCACAGGTCATAATGGAATTGATCACTTGTCACCCAAATTTGTTCCCTCAACCGATACGTTCATGTTCCCGAAGCTGATCATGAGACTAAATGCCTTCACTCGACCTCAAACACTCGTCAAAATTAATTCGAAAAAAGGCAAGCTCAATTTCCGAATAGACCGGAAGAGCTTGGAAATTTTAAAAGCTTCAAAACAGATACCTGCACCGGGATCACACCGACTCACATACTAGATATCTTCTCCTGATCAGGGAAAACGACGAAGGAAATGCTATTTCCTTTGAATGCCGAAAGGAGAGTCGTGAAAACCCTGAAGGAATGCTGAGCAAGGATACGAATGCATTTGCAAGACAATGGACCCTCAAAATCACATCTGAGATCCAGGTTAAGAGTCGACAACAAAAAAACCCGCCCGTTTGTCAGTCTGATTCTTTTCCCAGCCATAGAAAAGTATCGTTAAACTTCGAAAACTTATCAAAACCATCGTTAGTGGGATACCACATGTTTCATAAGGCACCAGTCGCACAAGAAAAAACAAGGGAAGTCGACTCACTCAAACGACCGACAGCCCCACAACCTCCATTGCAATTCCTGCAAAATTACCGAATTTATCAATATTCCTCTCAACATACAAAAATTAGAGATGGAGCCCCTATTCACGGACGATTCGAATTAAGGAGACTAGAAACTCAAACAAATCTGCCCCGACAACCATACAATGTCTCAAGATACGGACACTGACAAAATTTTTCTCACATTTTGTATCTCAAACAAATTGAGCTATTTATATACAGTACAGTATATTAAATTTACTTTGAATCACAATAAAAAACAGGCTAATTTGCGCTTATTTTAAAGAGTTCTTTCCATCATCCGGGCACAGGGTAGCAAGACTCGTGCTTGTTCTTCGCTTTTCGGGCTCTTTTTCATGACAGACGATCAGATTCCAAGAGGTCTTCTTCAGTACAGATATTTTCTTTATTTTTAAGTTTCGAACCAAAAATCTTATTTTCGGACAACTTTCTCCTAATTTTTTGATTGACAGGAAAACCAATCAAATGTGTTTCCAATGAAGTCTATGGGAAAACGTGATCCAACATAAGTCCCAAGCACCAATTACGTCCGCATCTGGGGCCCCACTGTAAATCGCAATCCGTACGTACCACACAAGTTGCTCCCGATCTTGATGTGCAAATATCCATCGATACCAAAAGCCCGACCCCAGGAATTCCGCACAATGTAATAGCCCGGTTTCGTCGTCCGGTCATAGCCGACAATTTGGGCGGCGTGGTTCAAGTTTGTCTCACAGTTGAACTGTATCACGCCTCCCAAATAATCCTGCCAACTCGTCCCATCCACGGCAATGGAAAGAGGCCCCAGAGTATTCAACATTGCGATGATTTGATTCTCTTGATTCACGAAGCTGTAGGAATAATCCATAATTGAAGCACTGATCATTCAAATCATAACAAACATAGGATTATACTGCACAAAACTGTCTAGCAGGAACACAATTTAAGTGTTATGCTCACACAGCAATAAAAATAAGCAAGCAAAAAAATCTCTCACAGAAGTAAAAATAATAAAAATAAAACCTTTTTAAACTTCTTCCTAACCGTGACATCTAACGCACTGAGCCAATGCGTCATCAGAAGAAGTGGAAAACTTACTCATATATACTGTTCACGAATTAAATGTATCACACTATTCGCCAAAATCAACAGTCGAACTAAACGAATACATCGTAAAAAGGTCGAGCATTTGAGGATATGGATAACAAACTTCAAAAATATTGCTATACCGACCTATTGCACGTATAGTTGGACTCGACTTGCACTCCATCGCTTGGTCTGTAAGATAAAAAATACATATATATAGTATTCATACACAGTCAAATTGAATCACGAATAACAAATGCGTACTTGGCTGAAGGACATGTTCCGTCGACTAATGTCAATGGATAATTACTTTCCAAGCGAATTGGAACGTCAGAATTCACCATCCATTGCACCGCAGTACACGTATTCCCACCTTGGCACCCCATGTTACCATTTCTGGCACAGTCAATTACCTGTGACAGATTCTCTGCATTAGATAACTTCTCCTTCATCTGAATACAGTAATACAGTAACTTCGAAAATACGGAGTACAGCTTTATTCTCTGAAACAAATGAATCGACAGCTAGGATAGAGCTTTGTACAGTGAGTCTGCTAATTTTCGAATTCCACTTGATTCATAAGCTACGATCTTCGGAGTGTAAAGCACAAAATACTGAAATTTGGTTCATGAAAATTTAAACAAAATTCACAAACCTGTTGCACACTCAGTTTCTTCAAAGATCTGCCTTTAATTGCATCCATCGATTCGATGCATTCTACAACGCTGAAAGCCCAGCAAGCACCGCAAGCTCCCTGATCCTTGACAGCAGTCACAACTCCAACGTCACGCCTGCAAACAAATGAACCAGACACCAATTAAAAGGTACTGTACTAGTATTTTATGCGTTTGACTCGCCTGGGACAGAAATAATCTAGTTAACAAGAGCTTTAAAAGCGTGATTTCATTAAAAACAAAATAAAAAGCCATATAAGTTCACGTCGCTATTCTACCTTCACTTATGATAATCTAATTATACAATGTTATCAAATATGATCAATTTTTCTGCAGTGGAAACACAGCAACTTTCGATGGTGAGTTGGATAGAAACAGTATATAACACGACAGGTGAAAAGTTTTCCCTCTACTTGTTGAAGTTAGTGGGTACCGAATCTGTTCTGAGAAATACGTTTTTCTTGTTGGTCGAGATTCATCATTTAATGAATTTCCTCACAATTTCAATGAGGGGCGTCTGGATCGCTACTTGATGAAATTCACGACAACTAAAACATTTTCCTGAAGCCATTAAATTCTTCAGCGTAACTGCGAAAACATTTCGTCGCACCACAAACCAATTACGATAATCAGACGTTCTACCACATCGTTTTCAGGTTTGAAATACAGTACACTCACATAGTGATTTGCAATTTTTAATACACAATGCACGACACTCAAATTTGTCTCTCTCGACGCTTTTTCAGAACTAACTGTTAAAAAATGAAAGTTCAGAAAAATTCGTTTTCGTTCAAAGAAACATAAAAATTAACTGCTTTTCCACTAGAAAATGATGCAACATGTCTATTTTTCATATCGAACCTTGCAACGTTTATAACAAAAAAAAGACCAGTAACTCACCAATCCAACTTATCAGGGAAGTTATCAGTAGCACCAAGACGCAGAATCGGATGATCGGTCGCATTGAATGCGGGGCGTGGGATCGAAATCAACGAGAGCGGTCGAGTGAGGTATTTTTTCTTGAATTCGTCCGGACTCATGTCTGAAAATTTCGTTACGCCGTAGTGCGCTTTGTCAGATGCTCCGAGATGCTCAGAATCCTTGTTCCTCTTCTCAGCCCTTTTTACACTCTCCTTAAAAAGGAATCGAGTACATTATAATAACGAGCAGTTGGGAAGAATGAAGATTAAACAAGCATTTGATGATGAAAGGTTTGAAATCATAAGTTCACGACAACTACAATTCCTGTGACTCTTTCGCTGGATTATTTTAAATGAAGCAATTTTTACGCGGTTCAATTTTAGTGAGTTCGAGCACAACAAATGACCCACAACAAGGAAAATGTTCGTGGGAAAAACATGACTTATTAAGAGGTTATTTCACAAAAAAAAATTTTGGCCCAAAAATTGCGCAAATTTCAAAAAATTTTCAACTTGAACAAGAAATTTGGCATAAAGTCACTCATCCAACACCTTTACGTAATTTCTTGACAATTTTAAATTTTTTTTTCATCCAGCTTTCAGGACAATATTTTAATGCATCCCATTGTGATTTGTAAGATTCTGAGACCTAAACTTGTAAAAAATCCATCGCATTGAATTAGCATTTTACCTCGAAGTACTTGAGCCTCGTCTGGTATTCATCGGCGGAGTAAGTTTTCTGATGCGTTTGAAGATACTCATCGAATTGTGATTTAACGTCTCCCTCAACGGGCGTCCGACGCACTGGTACCGCCAAGAAGCACAGCCCGATTATCAGCAGCCAAAACAAACCCACTTTCCAGTTCACTTCGGACGCCATTTCAAACTTTTCTCCAAATAACTTTTTTTTAACGCATCTGTGAAAGCAGTTCCACGTTTTAGAATCGCGCGGAGGTTTTCAGACAATTTCCACAATACCGCAGAACAATTCAAAATTTTCAACCCCGAAGCTTCACCACTACATCGTGTTAAAAAGTAACAGCTTCGAAAAATTAGATTATTTTCAGCTTTCAGGAAGTCTGATCAACATGATGCTGTGAAGATTAAAAGATTTCTGATGAGGGGCAGTGGAACACTCGAGACGAGATCAAAAACCTCAATGAGACGATGACAGGCATTCAGAAATTAATTTTCGTCGTACTTCCTATTTGATTCGAACATTCAAGAGAATAAAAAAGTCAATCTTGCAGCAAAACGAGGTAATGAGATTTTACTGGCAACTAATCGGCCCCCGCCTGTAAGTGTAACTTTTCGCTAGATACCAGCGACGATTCCTTTTGCGTTTTGCCCATTGAAATAGCTTTCGAAATCAGGTTCAAAAAAAGTTGCACTGATGACGACGAATCGTCATTCCCCGGCACTGGGTAGGTGATCAAATTCGGGTCACAGTCACTGTCAACAATCGCAACGGTTGGGATCAGCATTTTGGCAGCATCACGAATCACTGGATGAGGGCCAATTGCACCATCTCTTGTGTGGGTAACGACGACCAAGTCCGGCAACCTCAGATAAGAAAAACAAAGAAAACACGCGTCAATTTTAATTTACTCTTTCGATACTTATCCTTTGTTTGCGACAGTTGTTTGACATTTGCTTGCTTTTCCAGAATTCACCCTTATCACCATTTACAGAACAGTTCAAACACGATTAAGACGCCCCCTATTAAGCCGCCGACATTGGCAACCGCCAATGTTCTTTGAAAAACAAATACAATTCCCTAGTGAAAATAGCATATTAAAACCCACTAAAACGCAATTTGCCAAAATTGTCAACTCAAATATGTTCCTGCCAATTAATTTTGTCTTCCATAGCCCGCCAACAAGTTCCTACGAGAGGTCTCCAAATGGAAAAAATACTAGGATAACATAATATTATTTTCGGGAACACTATCTTAACATAATTTTTGCACCCCACGGTTATTTTGTTTTCGAAAAGAATAATAAATTTAACTTTCCACACTTTTATACTTGACTTTCACATTATTTCAGCTTTTTTTATACACTACCAACTCTTTTTAACCCGCCAAAAACTTGCAATCTAAGGGTGGCGGCTAATCAAGGTTTGAACTTAATTGAAAAGGACAATACTCACCGAGTCACTGCCCCGTAGTGATTGTTGGCATCCGTGAAAAGGCCAGGTTGCCAAGGACGACAATGGGAAAACTCATGAACCTCCTTCGCGGCTTTCTCCACCAAATAAATGGTGGCAGGGTGCCGCGTCACAAATAATATTATCCCATCACGGGCGGCAACATGGGCCACGAAGTTTAATGCATCACCGAGCAACGCTGATGCTTGGTCCAGGTCGAAAATCAAGTGGCCAAGACGCGATCCGTACAAAAATGGACGCATTCTTGGATCAAGTGAACCCTCCTTGTGTCCAAGGTGAAACTTAGCGTTGAATAGGTCTTCAATGCTATAAAGCTTTTCCACGGGGAATCTTTCCAACGTTTCTGCAGTCTTTTAGGACAAGACAAAATCAGTACATCGTGAAAAAAAAATTATTTTATACTCTAACACGACTTTTGCATAGAATAAATAAAATCATCAATACGAGGAATCTTACCTTGAAGTTTTTGGAAATCGCAAGCCACTTGGCATCAGTTTCATGAGTAATGACATCCGGTGAGACGAGACGCTTGTGAATTTTCGCCGCTTCCGATTTTCTAATGTAAGTTCGCACAGCTGACGAAAATCGAGTACCCCGACACTTGCACAATAAGTTAAACGCGATCATCTTTTTGTTGACAAGAAAACATAGTTAGAAAAATTGAGTCAAGTTTAAATAAGAAACATAATTTCACAAGAAAGACTTCATTCACACATGATAAAAAAAAAATTTGAAACAAGATCAATATCGTTTCCTCTTCAAAATGTCCGGCTTCCAGTTGATGGGATGTGTTTCTTCAGTCTGAGAAAAGAGAGAGACGACGTTTAGTTCACATGACTCTTGGACACATACCTTATATGTTCGTCAGATAAAATGGATAATCAAAATACAGAATTTTTCCTTAAATTTCATTGCGGTCAAAGAAAAAGAGAGGCCACGAGCTTTTGTCTAATTCGTCGTATTACTCATTTGAAACAGTGCCTAATTCAGCATCATATCACGAAGTTTAGAATTTTTCACTCTGATCAGAACCTGAATTCGTTCCAAAACAGACATAAGACCTTGAATACGTGCGTTTCTATTATATGATTCAAACTTTTATTTCGTTAACTTACGGCTTCGTCGTCTTCCTTGAAAATCTTGATGGTTTTATCAGACTCCGCACTGATCAGTCGACTGCCACTTCGGTCAAAACACAACGCATTTATTCCAGCTTCATTTTCCATTGAACCAGGTTGAACTGGAGCTTGTAGTCGCTGGAAATTATACCCAGTCATCCAATCCCACAAGTGCATTGTTCCGTTGTTCCCTCCAGAAACAAGCACTCCGTCATCGTTCACGGCCAACGCGTTGATTATCGTGTTATGTCCAGTCAAAGTTTGAACATAAACTGCGTTGCTTCCTTTCCATTCCTTGATTGAGTCCGGAGAAGCTGAGGCAAACATACGAACACTTGGATGAGCAGCCAGGGCACGAACGCTTTTCTTATGATGGGTCAGTGTGGCTTTAGTGACGCCTTTTCTCAAGTCCCACAAACGAACTGTCGAGTCTTGGCTTCCCGTGACAATCTGAAACAGGATATAGAAAAAGGTCAAAATAAAGTGCAAGAAAAATTGTAATAACGAAGATAAATTCAAAAATTGCAAGAAAAGAGTTCGATGAATATATGCGGTATTTTAATATTCATTCAGCAATGGAAAGCTACGCATTTTGGGTGCATTAATCTCTCAGATGAACGACATGCAGAAGGATTCAAACTCAAATGATGAATACTGTATTTTTAAAAAATCTTGAAAAAATCGCTTGCACCATACGAAGATAAAGAAATTAAAGAACCCAGTCATCCTATCTAGAAATTATCGTATACAGTACAAATAATTTTAATGCATTTGTGATTATAGCGAAACCGGGACAAGTTGATAAGCTTTCTCCCACAGCGAATAAAAAAAGAAAATTTGCTACTCGGACAAGTTGAAAAAATTTCACATCATGCTACGTCCAAGAAAAGTATTACTACGATAGCCCCCGAGGATCTGTTCTCAAGGGAAAAATATTATTAAGAAACGAACAGTCGAAATATATCAAGACAAAGGCAGAGATATTGTACAAAATTTCGACATTCACAAGCAAAGGGCATACCTGAGGTTCGAACTTTTGGCACAGGACGGATGTCACAGTGTTCGTGTGACCCGTCAGAGTGAAGACATTCGTTTTTGTCCTGATGTCCCAGACACGAGCAGTGCTGTCACGCCCACAGGTCACGAGAACATCAATCGTAGGATGCAGGGATAAAGCGTGAACAGCAGATAAGTGCCCGTGATAATGCCGCACAACTTTGTTCTGCTCAAGATCCCAACACTTGACTTGACGATCTTCACCGCACGAAAATAAATACGGCATACGAGCAGAAACTTCAACACCACGGACTGTGCTCACGTGTCCAGTAAGAGAAAGTTTCAGATTTCCACTCGCAAGATCCCAGATCTAGAATCAACGAAACATATTTTTCAACTTACATTATGCAGTTTATAAATCGTATTCAATAATTCACTAGACGTCAGCATAACTTACCTTGATTACTCGGTCGTTTGCACCAGTCACGAACCATTGATTTGTCGTGTCTACTGCAATGCATCGGACCCAGCCTTGATGGCCGGATATCACGCGCATCAGCTTCCATGGAGCGTGCCATTTCGGTTTTGCAAATCCCATCACTCCAATATCAGCACGACCAGAGAGACCGGCAAGCGCAGACATGCTGGGAACTTGCTCTGACTGCTCAGACTTAATCGACGGCGATACAGGAACAACCGAACTATTTGGAAGTTCGGCATTATTCTCGGATTTGATTCTCGGAGCCTCTATCGCGAGAGTGCGTTTAGGAATAGGTAGGTGTGGATGAAGCTTCGTCTGTGCTTCGTCCATCCCAGCGAACATATCACTTTCTTTGCACTTACGACGAATCCTTTCACTGCACACAAGAAAGAAGAAACATGAGAACGCCGGAAACCTCAACCGTTATCCATCCGAACTCACGCTTCGGGGTCAACGGGTGGCAGTGCAAAATGATCCGATCTGAACATGTCATGCGTTCGCTTCAGTGAGCGGAAAATCAAGGTATGGACCGTGTGACGCTGTACCTCCTGTTATAAAACATAGGGAACACCGTCATGAAATGTGATCACTGGAAATTGTTTGCTACATTACCTCTGTCATCTTGTTCGGCGAGGTCGACCGGTATTTCTGAAACACGAATCACCACCTCAAAATCTGCAGCACGGAACGAAAAGAACAAGAAATGGCAGTGCAGAAGACGTACGCGAAACAGATCGGGTCCACATAAAATTCATACGCGTATTCTCGTTAGCCACACGCAGCGAACTCCTGAAGAAGACTGATGATCTCCTCCGTGATCCTGAGTTGATCTGGCAAGGGATCACCAGCCGCGGCCGCTTGATCCTGAACACCACAGTGTGATATTGTACCGACTTTTGGCTCCCTCTCGGTGAAGGACCGCAATGAAATTCCACTACAAGGGGTCCAACGTTTTGGACGAGACGCATTACCACCGGTGTGGGCGGCACAGCGTACTCCCCCAAAATCGTACTCCAGGAGTACACCCTGCCTAGGCAGGATGCACTCCAGGAGTACACCCTACCTAGGCAGGGTGTACTCCAGTGTGCGCTATGCCGTCCGGCGGGTCTATTCAAATCCGCGGAGTGAAGTTCCATGGTGAACGCATGCAGTAGTTCTTTCAACAAAATTCATAGGAGAGCCAATTCCATGGTGATTATGGATTCTTTAGATAGGAACTTACTCGCATTTCGAAAATCCCGTCTAACGACACACATCCAGGAGTGGATTAATTTTGTCATGTGGTTGAAGATAAAAGAACAAAAAACTCCGTTTAAATGAAATGATTTCATCTACCCCATGAATTAAAGAGTAGATTTTCTGTGATGGAGTGATTCTGTAGAATTTGACAACGGTTTGCATTGCTGTTGGGGAAAATGTGCAGTATAGAATCTTGTTGCAACGAATCTTGTTGATGCTTTGGAGAAATGTCTTTTTCAGTCCCTGCCCCAACTGCCACATTCTTATTTAAATTTCTTTTTAACAAATTTTTGTATATGACAAAGCTTTTTCAAGGCCCAAAATGCTTTCTTGTCCAAAGTTCTACTGTACTTTTGCATTAATTATGAACTAACATAACCTGACCTAACTGATGCCCCCCACCCAAGTCAGTTTCAGCAGAATCCCAATAAATAACAGGGCCTGTCAATTCACATTTCATTCAAATACAGTCAGTAATGAACTTGGATCAAGGATGAAACAGACCAATGGTAAGGCTGAGCATAGCATACCCAGACATTGGAACAAGAGGGTTGTTGAACAATTGGGGTGAAGAGGATTCATTTTTGAGAACCACACATGGATGCCGCTGATAACATTCCATGTGTTGTTCTTAGTGACATCTATGAGGGCATTGGTTTGCATGTGGCTCCCCCCAAGTGGGATAGCTCCAAGGCCTCCCCTGAAAATAGATTTCTGCAGAATTCATCATTATTTTTGCCAAAGTAAATGCTGCTTCAAGAATCACTGTGAAATCAACTTTCCTCTGAATTCTGTGGAAGATACCACTGTGTAAGTGATCACTGCAGCAGAGCCTCTGCTGAATCGCACTCCACGGATGTGGACTAATCCTCCTGCTGGGGGAGTACGCTGTACCTGGGGAGTACGCCCTGCCTGCTACACCGGTGCCTTGGCGTGAACGCGGTTCGAATGTGTTCGAGTGATTAATGTTTGTTTTCCGCATGCTGTACTGTGCTGTATTCACTTCGCTGTTACGGCTGAAAATTGTAGACATTTTCCTTCTGATGTGAAGGTGACTTTTGAAGATACCACTGTGTAAGTGATCACTGCAGCAGAGCCTCTGCTGAATCGCACTCCACGGATGTGGACTAATCCTCCTGCTGGGGGAGTACGCTGTACCTGGGGAGTACGCCCTGCCTGCTACACCGACCGCGAGATTCATGCGCGCCGCCATAATTGTCGACACTCTCGCCATCTATGACTAGCAGCGTCTATGACTAGCAAGTACCACTGAGGCGGGCCACCTCATCTAAACGTGTGCCATAAGCCATCAAGCAAATGGTGCAGCACATGCATTTTTTTCAATTCAAAATACATTAACTGTTCCTCATCCTTTATTATTCCTACAAATGATGAACGCTCCACGCATTCAAGGACATCAAGTAATTCAATCATACTCTTCACGGAACTAGCACACTTCAAGAAGTTTTCGGAATTTTCTGTCAGCGAACGGCACAGTTTTAGACAAGGTGACCCGACCGCGAGATTCATGCGCGCCGCCATAATTGTCGACACTCTCGCCATCTATGACTAGCAGCGTCTATGACTAGCTCATGGTGACTCCGCCCGGTGGAGTAGATTTGCACACGGTATTCGGTAGTTCGTTTACCACGTCGTGTACGTAAAAAAAGTTAAGTTTTATGTAATTGACAAGGAGTAGGAAATAATAAGGATGTTTAAAAAACATTTAGACTTGATCGACTTCAGGTTTTCCACGGGTCTAATATTATCAGAATCTTGCACACATTTTCTATAGTTATGCTGAAACAGATGGAGAATGTGATGGTTTACGTCATGCTCCCGTACTTGTGTATATATATTAACCCTGTAAGAGGAAAACACATTTTAAATGAAAGAAAAATCATTTCAACAGTAGAAATTCGATTCATTCATAAATTTATGGTCAATGCAGAAAATCATCTGGGATGTTCGCTCATACTGCTGAATTCTTTATAGAACCCATCAGCTAAATAATTTGTGAGCATTTTTCATTAAACCTTTAAAAAATGCTGCTTGCAAATCTTAGATGTACAGGTATATACTTACTAATTCACAATTCTGTATTTTAGAATTTTATTCCTGACAGGGTACATATAATGTTTTCATGAAAGTATATATTTCAGCATATAGAATCTGAAAATTGTTATTCCCTCCCCCAGTTTTTACAAAAGTTCTCATGGAACGCACAGTTGTTTACAATTATGACCAAATAGCGTCGAAAAGTCAAACACAACGTTGCTGGAGATGCTGATACTTGTACATCAGTACAATCCAATTCTGCATCGGAGAGCCAGTGTAGTGTAGTCATCCCACCTCGTCTATTTGTACTTGATGAAGAAGCGACATTGCAGAAAATTGTACGCTACAGCTGGTTGACTCATCTGGTTCTAGATGTCGCAATTGTATGCAGTACAATTTTATAAATTTTTCATATGAAACGAACGGTCAGGCTATACAATTTTTGAAGAAACTCATAATGAATTTAGCTCTTTTCAGATTTAAATCTTTATCTCACAAAAATTTCAAGAACTTTTTCATGTTTCTCGAATCCAAGATCTCCGATCGAGGAACCGATTATTGTGATGGGATTTAAATTGATGCTGTACTAAGAAAGTAATTGATTGGGCTTATTGCCAACAGCATACGCCGACGACATAAAATATGCTCTGCCTATTTTATATAGACTAAGGTCATACGGAACAGACAGTACTGAAGTGTACGTATAGTATACCTGCTGTATTAGCTACGATTACATGAACCATCGAGACCTGTGTTGACTTGAAACCGCCTCTTACAGCACAGCATATTCGAATAACCTCAACGACCATCAGTCACGGAGGTTTCGTGCGTTGGACACCTATTTGGGCGCGGAAGTCAACCATTTTATTTTGTCACGCGTCGCGATGTGAATCAGGCAGAACGAGGGACTCCTCATTGTTGACTGAGGTTTGCGCGGCGGCATCTGCACTTTTATGAAGTTTCATTGCTTTCCGGAATTGATGCTTAGCAGCAGGTGATTTAAATCATATTTTACAAGTGTTAACGCTTGGTGAAATTTATAATAAAATTCCCCTTGAGACGGTTTCTGAAGGATCTTGATTTTAAATTTTTTTGTACTGTACATTATAGTGATTCGTGGAGTTTGTTTGAATTTCTTGTGTTCCTCGTCGGTGTACATGACACCGGGCAGAGTTTTGACTCAAGCGGTTACTCCCGCCGGCGCGATGAGGGCTTTTTATTCCGTGCGGCAGCATCAGATTTTCCTGGATTATTTGGTCTGGTGGTGAATGCGATTGTGAACGGCGAATGGCTCAGTGCTGATGGAATTTTGTAGATATGAAGCATATGTTGTAAAAAAGATCTGTCTCTTCCGATGAGAGTCGATCCATGCATGCCCAAAAACATATGTAGTGACGGCGTGATAGCAATAATATAAGGGCAAGAAAGATCGCACTTGTACACGAGAGGTGACACCTCTCGTGTACAAGTGCCCGGATGGCTTACTGGCCTCGTGTGTGGAATCCTTCTGTGCCGCATCAGTAGTAGTTCAGCTAGTACAGTATACTTTCATTTCGAATGGTTTGAAGTTTTAATATCTGCCAACGAAGTGAAATGAAGAATTAATGAAATTTCCATGCAGTGATTCATCAATAATTTTTACACTTTTAGTATAACAGAGGCTGTACAGTACAGTATAGCTGATTTGAAAGAATTGGAGACAAAGAGTTGCGTTTTCAGTTCGTATGTGACCTTTTTCCCGAAGGTGTTTTGTTTATAATTGTGACAGTGACAATCAAATACCGCATTCATTCGTGTGAAGTGAAAATGCTGTTGAAGGTTGTGATCAGCAACTTCAAAACCTACGTAGGAAACCACGAATTCGGCTCTTTCGATCGTCTTGGCATCGTCGGATTCACTGGAGTAAATGGAATCGGTACGTGTAATTTCCATATGTCTCTTTTTCTGAAGTGTATATACGGTATCTGTTCACGTAAATGCGTCCATGAACATTTCACAGGGAAATCAAACTTATTCGATGCTATTGGATTCGGACTTTGCGCCGACAAAGTGGTCCTTCGTGCTTCATCACTTGGACAGCTTCGTGCTCGAGTGAAGGATACAGATGCTAATCTCAGTCAAGTGAAGTTAGTGTTCAGGGACGTTGAGAACGGGGCTGAAATTTGTCTGAGCCGTACCTTGACAAGATCTGGGGAGAAAACCTCATTCGCCATGAACGGGAATGTGAGTCACTGATGTATACTTACGAATTTTTGCGGAGAAAATTGATCTTCAAATTTATTTTACCAAATCGGAATATTATTCCGTATGTCTCAACATAATTGAAGGAATCAGTGAAAATAACACTTCGAAAAGAATTAGAAACCCCAGCAATGACCAATTGCTAGTTTGTAAAGGTATAAGTCTTCGTCTTCCCTTTATGTTCCAAGATCTTCCGTTTTTGTTGCATGCAATCGTTTTAGTAAAGGATCTAACCGAACGTTTTCACGCATTACGAATGCCCTGTATAATTTATCAGCGCACAAATAAACAGCCAATTTAAGTCACTCGTACAAAGCAACCGAACTATATATGATCGGTACCGGTTCGAGAGAAGAACGCAGAAAGAAGTAAAGGCAGTTTTAAAAAAACGGCTCATACAGCAGTATACTATACCACATTTACCAAAATATGTAAGCACGCCTAGATTTTTCATTCACTACATTAAAATTTTACGCTTGGACGAATATACTGTATAAGCACCCACTCTCTTTCCTGCTGGTGTTCCGACTTCCCAGGGAACTAAAATTTCTGACTATACTGTACTTTAAATTTCCGATTTCCCCAGAAAAGTAAAAACGGTTTCACACAACCGTTGCTCTTCCCATCCAATCACTGACTACTGCATGTTGAAGGGTTCATTAGCTGACCATTTCGTTATCAATTGCAACTTCAATCCTAAAATTAAGAAGTGAAAGGAGTGCTTGATTGTTTTGTGGACCGCGAACAGGAAGATATCGTGATATAGATTCATGTTTAGGCGAATTGAAAAAAATACGTTAATATAGTGAGCAGCACTGCCTGTATTCTTTGAGCTTCTAAAATAGGAAATAGGAATTTTATACAGTACATAAATTGAATGTAGTGTTCATATAATGTGAGCGCGTATAGTTCGTTCAAGGTGAGGATCTTAAGAAAAAAACCGTAATTATTCATTTTTATATACCGTATATACGAAGCATTCCTCGATGCGTTGGATGGTTTATGTTTAATCTACTTTGACAATGCCAAAAATTATAATTCGTATTACTGTGATGTATGAAGTTCGAAAAACATAAAATATCTAATGAAATTTAGTGTACACTCCACGATGCAATCGCTGGTCATGATTGATTTTTGTTTGACCAAATTTTTAGTCGGCGCTTTTCTGTTTTAGTCGAAATGCTGTACTGTACTACTTCTCGTGAGTAGATTGTTCATACATTTTCTGGCGAGATCGAGTGATCATGCAGACGATTTCGCGAAAAATGTGTCCCTCGTAGAGTGGATTTGGAATTCTTTCTTGTAAACCGTACGATTTCTATAATGAATCTTTTCCAAGCAGAACGTCAGTAAAAACGCGTACCTGGCGCAAGTTGCTGCTCTGGGGTTCTGTCTCGTTGCTCGCAATTTCACAATGCGTCACGAGGAGATCATCGCCATGGTCACGATGTCCGGAGCTCAAAGGTTCCAGATGTTCGTTGATCTCTCAGGGTGAGTTAGAGTGTTTACTTCTTCCTAACTTGTGATCATTCTTGTCCGCAGAAATGTTGTCAGTTGTAGAGCTCAGAAATTATTATTGCGCAGAATATGTTCGAACATTTCGTCACGTATGATACTATTTTTTACGTCATGAATTATTCCTCGAATTTTTGGGCTCTTATTTCATCTCATTGACCTTGATGTTCGAGTATCAGCCAGCTAAGTATTATAAGGAATACTAGAATACGTTCGTGAGGCGATCGGTCAAATGTGGCCAACGTCGTTGATTTTTTAGACATCAGCTGGACAATACCAATAGCGAGGTACGTGTTGGACTCGCTATAATTGGATTAGTTCTGTACGTGATGAAATGATGTGTTAGTTTTTAGCGTATTGCAAATCAAGTTTAAACATGTATTCGTTGCTTTTTTTCCATTTCATGTCTTGATTGCGATTTTGTTGACAAAATATCTTCTGCAGAACCCGTGAGTTGTTCAACGAAAGCAAAGAGATAGCATCCAGAGTGGCCAGTGCTCTCAAGGAAGCCGAGAAATTGAAGAATCTGAAAGCTGATATTTTGGCGGTTGCGAAGAATCACCGGAAAACCCTGAGCGGGTTAAAAGAATTTGAAAATCTCAACGGAGAAAGCGTAAGATTTTGTAGAGCTCTCATTTGAAAGATTTCTATCCTGTGAAGAAAATGAAGGTTTCTCGTGAAATTAAAATGTTATTTCCTCGAATGAATCTTCACAGGAAATGCTGATGGTGGAAGCTGCTTTGATACGCGTACGATTGGCCGAGAAGCGCATCGAAGGTGTTGAAGAAGAGATCAGTGCTCTGAAGGACGAATACAGTAAAATGAAGCAGAAGGAAATTACGGAAAACCTAGAACAACGTATAAAATCACTGCTGAATCAAGTTGAGGAAGCTCAAAATCGGCGAGTTGTGATTCGCGGAACCTTGATGGATAACGTAAGCTGAATTATTTTCAAGGTCTTTTTTATTCTGAAAAGTGTATGTTCCCTTTCGAAATTTTTTATTTTGGTCTTAGGAAGCCTTGCTGAGCAAGTTGTGGGAAGCATTCAGGGAGTCTGAAAGCAAGCGAAGTGAGATCCACCTGATTCTCCGAAACGTGGAGCGAAAACTTGAGCAAGTAAGAACACTTTTTTGCCCCTCCCATCTGATCTTTTCAAGGTTTGTATATGATTTATTTTAGCATGCATTGTATTTACTCGAGTATATACCACGTGCCCTTCAGTAAAACACGCAGCCCAAATTTCCACCGTAAAATGTTGATGATATCCTCTTATCCTGAGTAAGATGCACGCCCCATTTTTTTAGTGACTGAAAAAACTAAAATATTTTAAAAATGAGTGGCACTGGAATTAAAATTTGAACACGAAACCCACTTGAATTTAATTTTTATTTTAAAAGTTCTTGTCAAAACTCAAAAATGTTATATTATACTGTACCTTTATTCAAGTGTGACCTGCAACTAAGTTTCCAGCAGTTGAAAAAAAAATTTGATCCCATCTATGATGTGCGCCACCCTCTTTTTTTTTTCTCGCAATTCTGAGAATATAGTTATTGTACTGGTACTCAAATAAGTATTGTACTGTATTAGAAAGTTGTAGTAAGTGTTTAATTCACTGTATCGGCGAAATGTCCCTCTCGAAGGTGTTCGTGTTTTTGGCAGTGAACTGAGTATCATGCCTAATTTCTACTGAGTCATCCCAAGTACTGTATTACGCCTACTCATTTGAGTTTTATTCTCAATTTGTTCCTATGAAGTTATGAGTATTTACTGTTGAATTAAAAGCAACGGATTGCTTGGGTGTTACCATATTATGTTCAGAAATATATCCTAAAACTTATTCTACATTACTATTTTTTTAGTATAGCTCCAAAAAAACTTTCACAGCGTTTAGATCACAATTATAGCCACCGATATTCATGAACCGTTCTCAGGGATAGTTTTTGTCGAAGATTTGGAACACACTGCTGGAAATCTAGACTTTTTTCGTATCCACGAACAATTTTCACAGGAAATGCTGATGGTGGAAGCTGCTTTGATACGCGTACGATTGGCCGAGAAGCGCATCGAAGGTGTTGAAGAAGAGATCAGTGCTCTGAAGGACGAATACAGTAAAATGAAGCAGAAGGAAATGACGGAAAACCTAGAACAACGTATAAAATCACTGCTGAATCAAGTTGAGGAAGCTCAAAATCGGCGAGTTGTGATTCGCGGAACCTTGATGGATAACGTAAGCTGAATTCTTTTCAAGGTCTTTTTTATTCTGAAAAGTGTATATTCCCTTTCGAAAATTTTTATTTTGGTCTTAGGAAGCCTTGCTGAGCAAGTTGTGGGAAGCATTCAGGGAGTCAGAAAGCAAGCGAAGTGAGATCCACCTGATTCTCCGAAACGTGGAGCGAAAAATTGAGCAAGTAAGCACACTTTTTTCCCCTCCCATCTGATCTTTTCAAGGTTTGTATATGATTTATTTTAGCATGCATTGTATTTACTCAAGTATATACCACGTGCCCTTCAGTAAAACACGCAGCCCAAATTTCCACCGTGAAATGTTGATGATATTCTCTTATCCTGAGTAAGATGCACGCCCCATTTTTTTAGTGACAGAAAAAACTGAAATATTCTAAAAATGAGTGGCACTGGAATTAAAATTTGAACATGAATCTTACTTGAATTTAATTTTTATTTTTAAAAGTTCTTGTCAAAACTCAAAAAATGTTATATTATACTGTACCTTTATTCAAGTGTGACCTGCAACTAAGTTTCCAGCAGTTTTGAAAATTTGATCCCATCTATGATGTGCGCCACCCTCTTTTTTTTCTCGCAATTCTGAGAATATAGGGGCTATTGTACTGGTACTCAAATAAGTATTGTACTGTATTAGAAAGTTGTAGTAAGTGTTTAATTCACTGTATCGGCGAAATGTCCCTCTCGAAGGTGTTTGTGTTTTTGGCAGTGAACTGCGTATCATGCCTAATTTGTACTGAGTCATCCCGAGTATTACGCCTACTCATTTGAGTTTTATTCTCAATTTGTTCTTATGAAGTTATGAGTATTTGCTGTTGAAATAAAAGCAACGGATTGCTTGGGTGTTACCATATTATGCGCAGAAATATCTACTAAATCTTATTCTACATTACTATGTTTTAGTATAGCTAAAAAAAACTCTTTCACAGCGTTTAGATCACAATTATAGCCACCGATATTCATGAACCGTTCTCAGGGATAGTTTTTGTCGAAGATTTGGAACACACTGCTGGAAATCTAGACTTTTTTCGTATCCACGAACAATTTTTGAAACATTTCACAAACTTTGGTGGAATTTCGAGGAGCATTTTTAAACATCTTGTCTGGTCAACCCTGCCTAGCTGATGTTCCATGAAATTTTTACGTGCGAATGCAATTTATTCATGTGTTGCGTAGAATCTCGTTGCAATCTTTGTATGTTTAACGAATTATGGATTAAAATGAATGCATTTTTTATTCATGTCCCTGCTGTTCATGCAATAGATACAATATTTTCTGAAAATCTTCGCACCAAATTTATTTTTCATAGCGAAGCTCTTCTCCATGCTCAATGGCTTTGTTGTAACGATATTTTACTGTATCGAGATAGCTTACAGTACGACTGCGGCGTTTCCGAACTGAACTTTGAATATTTTACGACCCTTCATATACATACGGTAATCGCGTGTGATTTTATTTCTGAACACTTGGAAGATTACTTATACGCAGTGGAAATTTCTTGCTGTGTCATTTGTTGTATCAATTTCCACAATCGTTCCTCATTGACTCTCCAGGGGAAGCAGGACAAGCAGAGACTTGTGGAATTGATAGGTAACCTGGAGACAAATGCTCCTGTACAAACCAGTGCCAATTTCGAGCAAGAATCGTCCCTCATGATGGCGGAAGAGTCAGTCTTCTGCGAACTTCTGGAAAGGCTTTCTATTGCGGACGTAAGATCAATTCCTCAAGTATAAGAAATATGTTTACTTTAAATGGGAAAAATGTCTTTCTTTGTGTTGAACAAGTTTTAATCGAAAATTCTTTGAAATTTTCATAGAGAGAACGTGTGCAGACTACGAAGCAGCAGGTGATGAATCGAGTCAGTGACAAATTCCCGATTCTGATGGCGAAGTTGGAAAGCATCAAAACGTTGGAGACTAAAAGGGATGCTGAAAACACCACAGTCAAGGGCTTATCAGAGAAATTGAATAATTTGACGAATTTACTGATCGGAGATACGGAAAAATGCATTGAAGCTGCGGAGAAGAACATAAGGTTCGTTATTCTTGAATGAATCATGGTGCCAAAAAAAAGAAGCAGTACTTTTTTTTTAAACTTGATGATCTTTCATTATGTGACCTACTGGAATACCACAGCTTATACCTCATCTTCAAGATTGACGAGCACAGGGACTGATTACCGTATTCTGATTTTTACGAAAAAGTGCTATAATCATTAAAATTGATCAAAAAGTTCCGAGGAAGTTTCAATGAGCGGATGGTTCAAAATTCTGTCAGTACTGAACTTCGATAAGCTACACTGCTACAAAAATTCGCGAGTGCAGGTATTAATGAAGCCAATTATTTTATCATAAATGAACTTAATCGTGTTTGATGCATCCGTTTATTATGTTGAAATGTATATACACAGTACTCTAGGTATGTTCAGTCAGACTTTATAATAAAGCCAGTTACATGCTGTATAATCAAAATACATCTCAGCAGAATCTCGTTACAACAAAGAGTTGCAAATGCTTGAATATAAAATGGCTTCTTTATAAACGGAAATTCGTTGAAGTGAAATTAAGGTAACATCGTGGCTTCATATATTACTGGACGGGGACCGAAAAAGCAAATTCGTTGTAAGAATTAATTCGTTATAAGGACATTTGTTGTGACAAGATACTACTGTATGCAAAAATATATGTTCACTCACAGATTAGCTGTCAGTCGCATACTAAATAGAACAGCCCCCATCCTAAAATATTTGACCGATTGAGAACGAATTTTAATCACCGTAAATTTCAGGGCTGCTGAAATCAAGGTTGCGGAGGAAAAAGAACTTCTGAAAACATCAGACGAAGCAATGAAGAGCAACGCTTTGGATTTGATGTCGAATGCGAAGCAAGCGCAAGAACTTCGGCTGGAACTGAGAAGAGTGGAGAGTAAAAGTGAAATGAACAGCTACACTGCCGAAGTGTCGAGAGCCGTGAAAGAACTTCGTCGACACGTTTCCTCGTCTGATGTTGTGAGTTTAAAGTAAAATCTCGTTGCAAGGAAGCTGTTGGGACCGGGGAATCAGCTTCGTTATGACAATACTAATGATAGGAAACGATTTAAAAAATATTATTGCTATTGGTCAGTACCCGTGAAACGACTCCGTTGTAAACAGTATATCGCTACAAAAAGATTTTTTGTAGCGTGGTTCTATAGTCTATATGAAGGAAGGGACCAAATTTTGGAACCTCACTTTTTTTGAAACATTTTAGAAATGCCTCAATAGTCGATACAAACAAATAGCATACATACGCAATTATGAACACCCCCTAGATTTTGCATGCACAAATTAAAAATCCCAAAAATTACCGAACGTAAGCGCCCCCTTACTTTTCTTATGTTCTGACTCTCCAGGTACTGAACCTATAAATCTCTGACTAAATTTAGGTTTTCCTCAACAACAAAAAAGGAGAAAGGGTGTCACACCCGTCCTTGCTGTGGTCACTTTAATCAATGACGCGTGCATTTTTAAGTGTTTAAAGCTGGCTGTTTCTTGATGATTTCAACTTGAACTCCGAAAGGACTTGAGAAAACAGTGCTTGCTTGCTTTTCGGGCCGCGATGGGGAAGATTTCCGGTAATATAAATGTAGACGCGAATTCGAGCGAATCGCATGAATGTGCGAATACAAGTATTCCTGGATTTGATGTCTATGTACACCTAGTTTCTGAGTTCGTAAAATTGGAAAAGGTGTGCTTATACAGTATTTGCGCGAATATATTGATGGTGCAGCCCGCAGTATAAAATAGCGATTGCGGATGAAAAAGCTTCCTTCAAAGTTCCTGATTCATTTTGTACAGTATATTTCACGAAGCATAAGTACTCTCTGCGTATAGGCATGAACCAGCTCTATTTTTCTTTCTCGAGGAATTCAAGCTGTATTTAAATTATATAAAGATGGCATAAAATAATTTACAGGTTAATTTTTCATCCGCCTGTTTCTTTAATTTTTCCTTTTATTTAAGTAACTCGTGAGGTAACTTTGCTTTCCTTTCACATTGTATGAATGATCTTACCCATGAAAAAATTTCAGCGAGATTCTTGTGAACTGTATGATGAAAATATAGTCATATGAGTATTTAATTTTATCTAACTTAAATACCAGCTGCATTCTTATTTTAGTGTATCCATGACATTACGTTGATATTGACCGAATTTCTGTTTTTTAATCATGCATGGTTAATTCGGGTTCGATGTTAAGTGCGGTCAAGTTCAGTCAAGTTAACTACGGTATTTTGACTTGAAACTTCCTCTGACATCATGGAAAGCAAATTTTGGTAAAAATAATGTCGTGTTTTGTTGTCATAATAGTTGGGTTCATTCCATGACGTGCTCATGTACGCCGGACCAGGATCGTTGAAACCTGCAATGGCACGAATGGTCTTGGCAAAGAAGGGCCACATCGTGATCAAAGATTTGCGCACTGCTTTCCAATGTCTCCGATTCCTGGAAACATCACACCTGGCGAATATGATGCATAAATTTCGGCTTATAATCCTAGACGATCTGCGTGTCCTGAAGAATCAAAAGTGAGTAACTCGAATTTGTTTTCGTGCTGGTTATTATTGTTCCTTTCTTGGTGTGTGTGTGTGTGTGAGTGATTCATTCGTAAAAAATGCGTTTACTTTCATTCGCATCTCAATAAAGACCCGCGATGTTGCCTCCGAAAGCTGTTTACCTCAGCAGTCTTCTGCGGAAAAATGTCGGATGCGTCATCAGTGACGAGGATTTCTCCAAGCTCAGAAATCATTTCGTTGGCAACGCCGTCGTCTGTCGGACTTTGGAAGAAGCTGATGATCTGTGGTGTAGGCTGCAGCAGAAGCATTACGTGAGTCCACATTTATTTTCTGTCAGATAAATGATATGCGTTTGAAGAATTCCGGGTGCTGATCATGTGATCGGGTACTGCCCTATAATAGTGAGTCATCAAAGGAAATGAATCTGCCCTCTGAAGTATCTATTTAATATTTCTGAAGTATGTACAGTAGTATAATAACCAGTATCAGTTAGCAGTGCCAAAATGAACGTCACGTAGGCATGAAACATGACTTCCGGCGTGATTATTCTTCAGGTGATTGCTGGTGATGGGACGATGATCGACACGCGTGGATGCCTGGTGGTCGGCGGTAAAACGTTGCGAGAGGAAATGGAGCTATTTTTCGAAGGGAACGAAAGCTTCGGATCCCAAGAGAAGCGCGCTGACTTGGAAGGAAGATTGGTTAGTAATGAGCTGCGGATATGTCGAACTGGGTTCTTCTCTTTTCAANCAAAAAAAAGAAGAGATTCGTTCCACAGAGAAGGTCGTTGTGGACAAGATTGTTGTTTTGTCCATCTATCACGTGAATCACCTGTGATTTTTTGAGCTTAGATTTGGTCAAATTATTCTTGCTTCGGCTCGATATCTTCCGCCCAACTGTTATAAGAGAAAGCAAGTATAGTTATAAATTGAAGGGGTTAATAAGAAGTCTCCAAATTACATTTTAAACATTTTGAACTATCCGTTCTTCGGGTTTGAGTAATTATGCAATCGCCGTTTATCCCGCGCTTTGGTGCGCCACTATATAGTTGAGGATAATGCTCTTAAGATCGTTATATATTGGAATTCGTGTTGCTGACAAATTGACGACGTCAAGTATGCGAAACAAATAAAAAATCATGACTCAAATCATAATGTTTTTCATCTTGCAGCAAAATTTGGAAATTGCTAGGCTGGCGTTGGTTGCGGAAAGTGTGAGGTTAGCGCGAGTCAGGCAGGAATTGCTGATAGTAAAGCAAGCGTTGGACCATGAAGCAGATGCTTGCAAGCAGAAGCTTTCAAATTTGGTGAGAAAACGTTGTTTTTATTCTCAAATGTCGAGAAAAAATTATCTGGAACCATTGAATCCGTTTTTTTTACAGAAGAAAATGCGGACTGAACAAACCGCGGAAGTCCAAAAGCTGACGGCTCTGATCAAAGACAAAAAGGTGATTCATTTTCATGGACAGTACTCGAATGCATTGTGCAGGAAATTTGTATCATTTTCCGTTTTCATATTCATCCGTAGACTGGGTTGACGTATATTTCGACGCAAATGATCGAACAGAAGCAGGAAATTTCGCGGATTCGTTCGGAAATCTGCGAGCTTGAAAAGCGGACTTTTGAGCCTCTGGCTCGGGAGCTGGGATTAAATTTGAAAGACCTGACGACTCTGGCTCAATTTGGCAGGGACCAGTTTACAGTCGCTGCGAGTCGCAGTGCTGCTGAACACGTCCGATTGTCGAAAGAGCGACGGGCTCAGGAAAACCTGGCTGCGAAAAAGCACGAATTGACCCGCGTTGATGGTAAATAAGTCATCAATTAATGTAGTGTTGGAATAATTACAGTCAAACCTCTCTGAGTCAATTTTCAACAGACGGTAGCAAATAGTTGAGTATATAGGAGGTTTCGATGAGTCATGGAAACAAGCATTTTGTCGAGGAAAATAAAGAAGATTCTGGTTTGGCTTTGCTGGTTGAGTGACCCGTTACATGTGAGCTCGAACCTACAAGAACATACGAGGGTTCTAACAAAAGTTCTTGGAGAAGCAATGAAAATGGCTTACTGTTGAGCTGAAACAAATTTTTTCTTCAGGGAAAACATATTCTTTGGCCCACTAAAAAATATCTGCCCTGTTCGACAAATTTCATCTAATTTTTTTCATAATTCACCCTGGCAGAGTTTTGCTCTCCACTCAAAAGATGAGGCGCCATTTTTTCCAGGTCATCCAAGACAATTCCTTCACAGCAGCCAAAGTGTCGGCCAATGTGGCGGCTGTGAAGGCGGCTGTTGATGAAA